ATTTGTCAGTAGGTTGTTGGTCTAATAGGGTAACATCTGGGTTTTTTTTTGAAAACAAGCTAGGCATTATTTATCTCTTGCATTGTCTAACCATTCCACCATGGTTTCCCCATTTAAAGTGCCCCCCTTTCTCCAATTTCTCCCTTAATAATACCCTTTTATGGTGCCACCACCCTTGAGCTCCTTCTTTCCCTTTATCCCCAAGGTTCATTGTATAACCCTATCCCCCCTCCCCTTAAAATAACCCCATTTTTATCCATATCTCCCTTATTAACACCTGTTTCCTACTCTTCTTCTCTTTCAGATTGTTTCTTTTTCTTTACTTCCCTGGTTCCTTTTCATTATCCTGGTTCCTGTAGTTATGTCTGGATAATGCTTACTTATAAGGACTTGGTGCGAGGATCCACATATGAGAGAGAACATACATCGTTTGTTTTTCTGAGTCTGTGTTACTTCACCTGTGTCTTGTGTATAGTCATTCTTTTCTTCAGCCCTTTGTATTGCTTTGAGTATTCTTTGTAGGCTTGGTTTGGTGGAGATGAATTCTTTCAGCCTAGTCTTGTCATGGAAGATTTTTCTTTCCCCTTCAACTATGATAGACAGTGTTACCGGGTGAAGTATTCTGGGTTGGCATCTGTGATCATTTAGAACTGGGAATACTTTGGTCCAGGTTCCCCAGATACTGGGTAATATAATCTAGGTTGGCACCTGTGGTCATTTAGAACCACAAAGTTGGGAATACTTTGGTCCAGGCTCTTCTGGCTTTCATAGTTTGCACTGAAAATCACCTGTAATTCTGATGGGATTTCCTTTGTATGTGACTTGTTTTTCTTTTGCAGCTTTCAGTATTGTCTCTTTGTTCTGTACTTTTAGTATTTTTGCTGTGATGTCCTGCACATTGTTTCTTTTCTGGTCCTGTCTGTTTGGTGTTCTATATGCTTCTTGTATTTGTATGGGCATGTCTTTCTTTAATTTTTGGACATTTTCTTCTATGATTCTGTTGAAGATCTGGTCCATGCCATTATCATGGGATTCTTCTCCTTCCTGTATGCTTATGATTCGTTAGTTTGGTCCTTTTATGTTGTCCCACAATTCCTGCATATTCCATTCTTGTGATTTCTTAAATTTTTCATAATCTTTGCTTGAGTGGTCTAGTTTGTTCACTTTATCTTCCAGTCTTGATATTCTGTTTTCCATTTCATTCATCCTATTGGTGAGGCTTTCTTCTGTCATTTCTAACAGGCTTACTGAGTGTTTCACTTCCTTTTTCATTTAAGCCTGAGTATTCTCTAATATTTCCAACTCTTTTCTGAATTCATTCAGAAGTTTATCCCTATCTTCTTTCAGTTCTTTGATTTCTTTTTTGTGTGTTCTTTAAATTCACTGAGTTCTTTTATCATGTTTATAATTGTTCTTTTGAGTTCCATGTCCTGCATTATCTCTAGGGTGTTCTCATTGTACTCCTCTACAGGACTGTTGGTACTTGATGGGGATATATTATTTGAGTTTTTCACGTTATTATTTTTTCTCTGTGACTTTGACATGTGAATTTCATTTGCAGTTTCTAATTCTTGTGTGAGACTCAAGCTTTCCTTTGTTGAGTTTAGGTCTGCTTCTTTTTGTAAACTTTGTGTGCCTTTGTGGTTTACTTGTTGGGCATGAAAAGCTGGCGGGTCTAGGCTTCAGGTTCTCTTTTGATTTTATATTGGAGAGGCCAATTTACTTTTGTCTTGTTGCTCAGTAGTTCCCACAGAGGCCCAAGTTGGATGAGGATCAGATGCTCCCAGCCTTTCTCCTAAGGTCTGGATCCCTCCAGGAAAGATGCTGGCCTTAGGAATTTGGGGGCTGGGAAGCCCTGGGAGTAGGGCCCAGGAAAGTTGGTGGCCCCAGGAGGCTGGTATCTGTGCTGCCCAGGGATGCAAAGGGAGGTGGGGGTGGGTGGGAAGAAGCCCCTCGAGCTCCCAGGGAGTACAGTGAGGAATTGGGTTGGTCTGGATGCAAAGGATCAGAAAGCAATGGGGAGTCTGGGCCAAGAGGTCAGTCCAGAGGTCTGGGGTGCCAAGACAAGAAATGGGCCAGTGCCCAGGCTAGGAGGAGAGATGGGGTGGGGGATCTGGGAGCGTGAATGAGGCAGGGGGAATCAAGGCACAGTGGGCACTACCAAACTTACCCAGGAAAGATTCTGGCCCCTGTATGTATGTGTGAACTTTAAGAAGTTTTTCGTAGTGGTAGGTTTCCATGTCTTTTCCTAAATGTATTTAGTGGTACTTATCACTCCAAATATTCCCGCCTTGGTACTGCCCTCCGATTCCCCACCCCATTTAACCCTTCCTGTCTGATGTTCCCCTTTCCGCTTCATAACACCACATTCCACCACCCCTCCGAGGATGCCTCCCCCTACCCACACATGGCTGTTTATTAGTTTCTTGACCTCTTTGAATTTTTAAATTGAAGCATGCATATCTAAGATTTCAAAGCTAGCATACCATTTTGAGAAAGAATATGTGATGTTTGTCTCTCTGAGTCTGGATTCCCTGAGTCAGGATGATTATTTCCAGTTCCACCCATTTACCTGCAAATTTCATAATTTCTGTTTTCTAAAGAGCTGAATAACATTCCATTGTGTATACATACTGCACCTTCATCATCCATTCATCAGTTGATGGACATCTAGGTTGTTTCCAGTTCTGGCTATTATGAAAAGGGTAGTAATGAACATGGATGAGCAGGTATTTCTGTAGTAGAGTATAGAGTCTTTTGGGTATATGCCAAGGATGGTGTGGTTGGGTCATATGGGAAATCAATTTTGAGTTTTTTGAGGAATCTCCATATAAAATACAAGATTTTAAAAAGATGCATCTATTTACTTTTACTTAGCATATGTGAGTGAACCCACACGATTGTATGTGCACCATATGTGAGCAGGAGCCTGTGGAGGCCAAAAGAGGGTGTTAGATCCCATGGAACTAGAGTTACAGGTAGTTGAGCTGCCATGTAGGTGCTGGAATCTGAACTCAGGTCCTATGCCAGAGTAGTAAGTGCTTTTAACCATGGAGCCATCTCTCTAATTTGTTTAAAGTGTAGTTTTTGAAAGCAGTATGTAGGATTTATATTTTACGGTGTCTAAAACTGTCTTTTAATTGAAATATGTTGCTTTTAAATTAATTATATACATCATTAGGTCATATTTACCATCTCTATATATTTTGATTTGAACTCCCTGTCCCATGTTTGTTTGTTTGTTTGTTTGTTTGTTTCTTTCTTTCTTTCTTTCTTTTTTTTTGGTCTTTTTGTCTTTTTGAGACAGGGTCTCCCTGTAGCCCTGTAGCCCTAGTTGGCCTGGAACTCACTATGTAATCCAGGCTGGCCTCAAACTCACAAAGATCCACCTGCCTTTACCTCCCAAGTGGTGGGACTAAAGACATGCACCACCACCCTTAGCATCCATGTTTCTTTTTTAAAATGTATTTTATTTATTTATTTTATATGTATGAGTATATTGTCTGCATGTATGTAAGTGCACCCATGCCATACAATGCCTGAGGAGGTCAGAAGTGGGCGTCGGTTCGCCTAGAACCGGAGTTATAGACAGTTGTCAGCCATCTTGTGCATGCTGGGAATTGAACCCTGATATTCTTCAAGAGCAGCCAGTGCTCTTCACTGCTAAGCTGCTCCATCCGCCCCCATGTTTGTTTCCTTGTCTTTCTCAAAGAGCATTATTTGGGATCCTGCCCTGTCCTTCAGAAGACAGTTGGTCACAACTGGAGCCCTTTAAGGCTGGGCACTTTAAAATGACACATGTGGGCTAGCACCCTGCTTTCCTGATCTTGGCTGGAGGCAAGGAAATACGTTATGTATAAAGGTGAATTCATTTCATTCTAAATGAAAATGGACAATTCTTGAAGAAGTACTGGATTTTTATAAAAATATCCAGAAGGAGCAGACTCTTTTAGAAGGTGTTTGAAGAATGTTTCCCTTCAAAATAATTCCAGTTTAAAATGGCAGTATACACGTTTTTAAAAAATTGCCTCAGCTGCCTTGCTGAACAAAAACAGGTTCAGTCTTGTTGATATTGAGAGCTTTACCCATAATCCTTTATGCTCAGATTTTATTACTGAGATAGTGATTTAACTATTCTAACATTTTAAGGTTAATGAGTATCCAAGTTTGAAAGAAAACGCAGCCACTTTTCTAACAATGTTTTAGTCAATTATTCTCAGCTTATTTCTCCACTTTTACTGACAGAGAATGTTATTTAATAAACAAGGTAACTTTTTAGATATTTAATTCTTTTAAACTATTGGAGTGTCTTTATTATTATTTTTTACTCACTTAGTATATTTGGTACATATTCAAGGCTCTTTTAAAACAGCTCCTCAAGATGATTTAAATCCAGTTATCACAATTATATATGTGAAGATGATTTCTACCTTGAAACATCCTGCTGATGACTGGATTATGTAACTGTCATTTGCATTTTGTATGTGCTGCTGGCTCCCTTTAAGTTTTAAATTGCCTTTGATTAGCTTTCATGCAAAGTAATAATGCTCCTGTATTTCTGTCATGAAAGCAGAGTTGTCTTGCATCTACTTGTGCTTGAGGTAATATGTCAGTGGACCCAAACATGACATGCCTAAGCTTAGCAAACAATTAGTGACTCTTATAAATAAAAAGCATATCTATCTTAAAAGCTGCAAAAGAGTATTATTTTGGCTTAAACACATTTCAAAAATTGTCGTGAATTAGTTAAACATTTGTCATGTGCCCCTTCGTGACTTCTCTGCATATTAAAACAAATCTTACTATCTACATATTAAAACAAATCTTACTATGTACATTTTATAGATGAACTGACCAAGGCATTTAGAGGTTAAGTAACTTGTGCAAGAGTAAATAGTGAATAATGGGGTCAGAACTGAAACCCCAGCCTGCCAACCTCTACAGCTGGCATTCTTTCTGGGACACCATGACTTAGATTACAGATAGATGAATGGGATTCTCTTACAGGCCTCGTCATGTGGATGCTTCCAGGACAGAACCAAAGTTGGGTTTCTGAGTTTATCCTGCTTGGCTTCTCCAGTGACCCCACCACCAACAGGATCCTCTTCTTTGTGTTTCTTCCGATCTACCTGAGCTCAGTCCTGGGCAATGGGCTCATCATCACCCTGATCTGCGTGGACACACATCTCCACACTCCCATGTACTTCTTCCTCTGTGTCCTGTCCCTGCTCGACACATGCTACATCACCACCACCATGCCCCAGATGTTGGTGCATCTTCTAGCTCACTCTCAGACCATCTCCTTTGCTGGGTGCTGGCTGCAGATGTATGTGTTTGGTGCCCTAGGCCTCACTGAGTGCACCTTCTTTGTAGTTATGGCTTATGACCGATATGTGGCCATTTGCTACCCACTGCGCTATACTGCCATCCTCAGCTGGGGCCTGTGCTCACGATTGGCAGCCGGGACATGGGTTGTTGGTTTCATCTTCTCTCTGATGCATACCTTCTTCACCATGTGGCTGCCATATTGTGGGCCTAACAAGGTCAACCACTACTTCTGTGAAGGCCCCTCAGTACGTAGCTTGGCTTGCATGGATACCCATCTCATTGAGATGGTGGACCTGGTCATGAGTGTCTTTATGGTGGTTGTCCCTATTTCCCTCATTGTGGCCTCTTACATTCGTATTGTCCTGGCCATTCTCAAGATCAAGTCCACTCAGGCCCGCTGCAAGGCCTTCTCTACCTGTGCCTCCCACCTGACTGTGGTCATACTCTTCTATGTTCCAGCCACTTATATCTACATGAGGCCCAACTCCAGCTACTCCCCTGAGAGAGACAAGCAGATCTCACTCTTTTACAATGTCTTCACAGCCTTGCTCAACCCTGTGGTCTACAGTCTGAGGAACAAAGACATTAAGAGGGCTTTTCTCAAGGTGATGGGGCATGGTAGGGTGGACTGGTGAGCCAGGGTCTAGTAGAAACCAGGGGTAGAGACACTTGTACAACCACGTTTGTTGCTGCTCTTTTCACAATAGCTAAGAGATGGAAGCAACCTAAGTGCTCCTCGACTGATGAGTGGTTAACAAAAATGTGGTATATTTACACAATGGAGTTCTGTTCAACAGTAAAGAAAGATGAAATAATGAAATTTGCAGGTAAATGGATGGATCTAGAAACTGCTATGTGAAGTAACAGAGACTAATGTGGTATATTTACACAATGGAGTTCTGTTCAACAGTAAAGAAAGATGAAATAATGAAATTTGCAGGTAAATGGATGGATCTAGAAACTGCTATGTGAAGTAACACAGACTCAGAAAAAACAAAAAACGTATGTTCTCCCTCATATGTGGCTCCTAGCACCAAATCCTTTTAAATTCTAGGTCTTTTTAATAAGAAGATGCTATACAGCAGTCCCTTCCACATGAAATAACTACCGTCATCATGACTTCAGCTGAGCCTGATCGCTAAACATAGTCACAATTGGGCTTGTTGACAATTGTGCTCATCCATTAAAGGAGTGCCAAGCAGGGTCACTGGACCCTCACCTGAGTATCCAGCTGCTCTTCCCAGCCAACTAGTCCAGCCTTGGAAGACAAAAAGCATGAGGAAGAACCCAATAGAGGGACGCTTTTGGAAGCCCTTGTCAAGAAACTCCAATGGACTTTCATATGAACATTTGAAAATTGCCCTGTTCTTTTTTCTAGTTCTTTATCTAGAACTTGTAATGCTAAATACTCTTGCCTTTACTTCTCCTTCACATCTCCTATTCACAATTCAAGGACTTTCTTTTCCCCTTAGAGATAAGAATTATGCAATTTGGGAGTCTTTTAGATAGACCCACTGAAGGGGTACTCCAATTGCCTCACCCTGCGTCCTTGTTCATCGTGGAAGAAGCCAGAGTGGTCTGTGTCCCTATTCCCTATCGGCAATTTGGGTAACCTCTTCAGAGGATAGTGTGATAAGAATAGGAGGTAGGAATTGGCAAGGAAGTTAGGGTAAAAAGACCCCAAGGAAATGTAGCCAGTTTCTTGGCTAAAAGTCAAAATGTCCTTGGGCCTGTTAGCAACATACTCTGTTCCAAAGGCCAAAAATGTCAAAAGTATTTGGGAGCTTGTATCTAATCCTTAAAAGATTTTAGGGTTACCTCTTCAGAAGGGGGAATGTTGGAGGGGAGGGAGTGAGCATGGATTTGATCAAAACACCTTATATACATGTATGAAATTCTTAATAAAGTTTTTATAAAAATAAAATAAAATAAAAAGAAACCAGGGATAGAAGGTGCAATGTTTAAGGAAGGGACCACTATTGTATGTAACTGTAATTGTGCATTTCAACTGACATAGTACTTGGTAAGTGTGACAAACCTTCATGGAACCAAATGAGCTGTGTGTATTAACTGGCTACATTATGGTGCAACAAAAACACCTCAGTAGTTGTAGTGGTTTATGCTGCAAAGGTTTATTTGTTGCATCCCCATGTGGAAGGTTGGATGTGACTTTCTGCAGTCTCATATCCACCCTGAAGCATGATCCATTGTGTGGATTATGTCTTTTTATGAGGAAAGGAACAACAGACAAAGCTCATGATGACTCAGAGCTTCTCGGACGTGACACATCTCTTTGCACTCATTCCATTGGCCAAAGCAAGTTGCACTGTCAACCCTAGTGACAAAGGAGTTGATGTGTTTTCTTCCTAGAAGCAATGCAAGTCACATGACCATGGTCTGGTACATGTAGTTTCTCTACAGAATGAACAGCAAAAAACAGAGCCAATGTAATCTATTATAATACCACAGGAACTCATACAATATATGAAAGCGATATGAAACATGCTAGCTGTAAATGACATGGTGATGGAAACAGCTGACAGCCAAGCACTATGAACAGAGTTGTATATATAAACAGTATGCATTGCCAGTATCGAAAATTAAGCCAGTAGCATGCAGAACCAGTACAGCTTAGCGGCATGATTTGGAACACGGACTCAAAGTGGCTTATGGGTAAATATGGTAAACTCTGCATTGTGTTGTCAACAATACAACATTTGGTATTAAGGGATCTGTGTTCTCATTCCAACCTAACTTGCTGAGTGTATGTGTGACTTTGAGTGATTTACTTCTCTCCATATCTCACTTCATTCATCAATAAAACCAACACCCAGAAGTTCTTTCCAAAACCTCTTCACACTCTGAAATTCTGTAGCACTGTAGGTAGTGGAGTAGATACAAGATGCTGAATTCAAATGCAATATACCCAGGAGACTGAGGGAGGTAGAACGCTACGGGCTCCGGGCCAGCCTGAGCTCTAGTACAAGATCCTGTGTCAAAAAATAAAATCCAATTGCAATTAATTTATGAATAATAAAGAACAAAACCTCTCTCTCCTCTCTCTCTTTCTCTCACTTCCCCTGTTCCATGTGGGAACACCGCAAGAGGTTAACCATCAACAAACTAGAAAGGGAGTCTCAGTGGACCTTGTTTTTGGCGCCATCCTGACCTCAGAGAGGATAATCTTGCCTGTTGATTTCACCATATTGAGAGACATCTAGAAAATTTGCCAGCCTGCTTCTCTATGTGCCTGCTTCTATAGATGTTGAGCAAACTGAGGGGGAAGATCTGCCCTGAATATGGGTAGCACTGTCCAATAGGTTGAGAGCCCAGACAGAACAAAAAGCAGGAGGGAAAGCCCAGCAAGCAAGATTCTTCTTGGGCAGATGTGATTTTTGCTGCTGCCATAACCTGCAGACACCAGACTTCAGCTTCCTCAGTCTTTGAGGTTCATGCACACCAGTACCTCTCCAGGAAGCTTCCAGACTGGGGCCTCTTTTTCTAAGGCATCCAGTTTCTTGGACTGACCAACTTGTACTACTGCTTTTCCTGGCTCTTCAGCCTGCAGATGCCCACTGTAGGACTCTAATGGTGTGAGCCAATCTAAGAAATCCCTTTCTAATTGTATATGCAGTCCATTGATTCCATTCTAGAGAACCCCAGAAATACAGAATTTGTGCTTCCAGAACTGAAAGTAAATTGCTGTAGTGAAAACTACATACTTAGACTATTTTGTTGTAAATCTCTGAATTGATTCATAAAGCTCTAGATTAATGGTATTTCTACCAGTAATAGAGTAAAACTTTGAGATAGATATCCAGTCAGTTATTAAAAAATGAAGTTGTGGGGCTGGAGAGATGGCTCAGCATCTCTGTTCTCACAGAGGACCCAGGTTCAGTTCTCAGCACCCATGAGGCGGTTAACAACCATCCATAACTCCAGTTCCAGGGAATCTGATGCCCTCTTCTGACCTCCATAGGCATTGCATGACATACACTCACACACATTAAAAAAATGAAAATTAAAAAAATTTAAAAACTAAAAATGTTGCAATCTCTTAAGGAAATAAACAGGGTTCTTTGATAGAGAAAAATGGAGGACAGAGGCATCCTTGCAGGGAATAAACAGTAAGGTCTTGAAGTTAGGAATTCATATTTATCTAATACCTGTGGAAGAGAAGGAACCAGCTGTGGAAAGAGCCAGGGAACTAAGGTTAGATCAGGTACAAAGGCCTCAAGTTAGGAAATGATTTTGCCTTGTTCAAAAAGCCAGAGGTAGGTCCCTGTAGTCATAATAGAATGTGCAGGAGAGGAAGGGATAAATTAAAGCCTGGGGCAGAACTCAGGGCCATGAGGATGCTGAGATTCTGACTGAGAAGTGGCCCAGTTTGAGGGACAATGATCTCCAGTATAGGAGTGACCTCACGAGGAAGTGGTTGGGAAGGGGATTTGATAAAAGGGTGAGACGTTCAGGGCAGGATTGCTAAAGAGCTCCAGAGCCTGTGGAGTCTCCGGGGGGACTCTGAGCTGATGGTCCTGGGAGGGGTCTTTATTGATTATGCTGCTGGAGTTTAGATGGCAAAGAGAGAACTGGGGAAGGGCAAAGGTGGAGAGCTGCAAAGAGAAGAGGAGAGTGATCCATGAGAAACAGCAGTCCTGGAACGAGTGGAGTTTCTGATTAGAGAGTGTTTAGAATGTACTTCAGCTTGCAACCGCAGATGTTGTCATGGAAACCAATGCTTTGTGATCCAGCCACCTGCTAGACTCCTTCAGCAAGTCCTCCAGTGCAGCTACGTGGTGGACTCATTCACAAGGTCCCATATGGTTCCTGAAGTCTGAAAGGTTATATGTGGAAGTTATCCCTTCCACAGCCCCTCTCGCTGTGAAGGTCTTCTGTCCCAGGTGACAGCAGCCTCTGATGGCATGTCCATACACTCATTGCTGACTGTTGGTTCTCTTACTGCACTTCAAGGATGAGTATAAGTTTTCTCATCAGATCCAGAGTAGGTCTGGCCTGGCTAATTGAGCAATTCCTCTGTAATTCAGTGCCCTGGCAATAACTTCCTCAATGAGGTCTGAGCCCTATCCCTTTGCTTTAGAGCTTTTACTTCCTTGCCCCTGGGTGTCATCTACTTACAGTTAATACTTTCTTTGAGGCAGGGTCTCATGTACTCCAGGCTGGTCTGGATCTTGCTGTGTAGCCAAGGCTGGCCTTGAACCCTTGAATCCTCTGCCTCTATCTTGCAAGTATTAAGTTAACAGGCTTATACCACAATGCCTTGCTCTAAATTTACGTTAATTTTTCCTTGTTTAACCTACTGGACAGTTTCTACCTCCTGATTGGCTACAAAAAGATGCAGTTCCTCTAACGATTGAAAACATCTTCATTTTATTGAAGGGAACTCTGAAGTTTAGAAAAGTAGTTCTCAGAGAGGTTAGAGCCAAAGCCAAAGTTGCATAGCTAGTAAAGGAGGGTGAGGGGATTTGAACTCAGCTCCATTTCTTACCATTACCCAAAATGTTCACAGTGAGGGCATCTGTCATCCTACACAGTCATTCTCAGGCTGAGCTTAATCTCCTCTTCTCAAAGCTTCTATTTGATATCGTTTTTTTCTGAAATTAAGGTACATTCCAAAT